AAAAAAAAAAAAAAAAAAAAAAAAAGATGAAAAGACGGAGACCAATGCGCCTAGCTCAATTGGTACACCCATGAATTGCTCAATTGGTACACCCATGAATTGCTGAAATACAAAGTTCGAATCCAGATGCAATCACATGACCAGAACAACATAATTCTGAAAAAGAAGATCACATGGTACAGCAGGGCAAGAAAAAAGATCAGGTAACACGTTGACATCAACAATAAGAATCTCCAGTGCTGATAGCGTTCTTCGGACGACGTACCTTGAAAATTATTCAATCGATTTTTTTCAAGGTACAGGTAAGCAAGCCACGGGGAACAGAGAATGCAAAGGAGGGCGCAGGCATGTCAGCGTGGGGGGGAGGTGAGTATGGTTTCGATGCAATGCAGAGGGTGTGCTGCTAATCTTACTTTCCCTTATATAGCGCTGGTCGTTCAATGTACTTCTGACAAATCTTTGGCCCTGTCTCCATGATGCGAATGATGGCACATAGATTGCGAGTCACGACGCTGTCAATACTTCGAGCCATGTTCCACGGCTTGAGAATCCAAAGATTGTCTGTGCCTGATTCTTCTCTCTGCTGGAAATCTCCAATCATCGCCGGAACCTCCGAGTCCAACTCGTACGTTACCTGCAACCAAGGCTTCCTTCCATATGCCTTTCATCACGACATCCAATCGCACAGCCAAGAGAACACACGCGATTCGTAATGGTCAGATGAGCCTAAGGAAGACGGAGGATCAAGCCTCCCTCCCGCTCACAGAAAGCTGGTCGTCAGATCGCGTCAAACAGTGAATGAGATGGAGTGAGGAAAAAGTGGGAGGGAGACTCGCTGGTGAGACGGAAGGCGATGAGAAGAAGCACGCAACTCGTAAAGGTTAGGACGCAAAGGCCCTCGCTACACCACTTAGCAAACGCAAGTGAGTGGCGCGAGGCTCCGCTACCTCACCATGGCCGTCCTGTCAGATGGCCATTTTTTTTTGTGGTGACCGGCCGTGGTGATCGGTCACCACAGCCACCTTTTTCCCTGCCAGCAAGATCAGAGTTGTGGAGGGACGGATAGGAGAGGCACCGCGGTTGCTGAGTACGCCAACTGCCTCGGCCGTCAGCAGATGGCAGAGGACTACAGATTCAGTTTCCTTATCGGAAAGGTCATGGTGAGCGCCCACAAAAGAAGAGGGTGGGGGGGAGGGGAAGAGGACAATTTGTGGACTAGAGTCACTTTCCCTACCCTGCTCAGTAAAGAACCTACAAATTTGGAGTTCAGTCTATCGTGTGCTATCTCCAAAATGATGGACTTACAAGCTCAAGCTCATCCTGAGCTGGGCCTGCCGGATACCTTTTATAAGTTCTCCCTGGTTTCGCTAAATGGCGGCCTCAAACATTTTTCACTATCTTCTTTGCTGTACAAAAAATAATTTACCTTACCCCATACAACTTTCACAATAATCTACCTTATAGTATACATAACCCTCAATGCCCTCATACTATACGTTATCTAGTTACCTTATAGAACGTGAGTTACGAGCACAGAGTCCGGATCCCTGTACGACTTTCACAACAATCTACCTTTTAGTATACAACCCTCGTAGTATAGAACATGAGTTATGAGCATAGAGTCCGGATAGATGGTGCTAGTAACTCACGTAGTGAGTTTCCGGATAGAAGGTGCTAGTAACTCACGTAGTGAGTTTCCGGATAGAAGGTGCTAGTAACTCACGTAGTNGTAACTCACGTAGTGAGTTTCCGGATAGAAGGTGCTAGTAACTCACGTAGTGAGTTTCCGGATAGAAGGTGCTAGTAACTCACGTAGTGAGTTTCAGTCCCTCTTCTAGAAGGTGCTAGTAACTCACGTAGTGAGTTTCAGTCCCTCTTCTAGAAGGTGCTTTAGGTGCTTTCAATAGAACATGAGTCACGAGCATAGAGTCCATGTCCACTTGCCCGGCCGGGCCAAAAAATAGAAAGAGGGACTGAAACCCTATACTGTATCTAGGTTATCTTATAGAACATGAGTTACAATCATAGAGTCCAGATAGAAGGTGCTTTAGGTGCTTTCAATCAGTAGAGAATTAGAGAACAGAAAAACATCACTTAACAAACCTTCATCATCGTCTGTGCAAGATGATGCTTCATGACAATGCAGGCTTCGTAGGGAAACTGATTCACATACTGGTCGTCGCGCAGCTCCAGCGCCTTCCGGAATTCGTCATCCACCTGCGCATGTGACCATACAATGTCTGCCTCCTTCGGCTCCTTCACTGTCACAGAAACATACGAGGCCGACATGCAGATGTTGCACAATTTTTTTAGTCCTTTTTTGGGCAATTAACACCGACCTCGGTTGTTTCCTTTTTAGGCAATTAACTAACTTTTAGCCATGTGGTTTTGGGGAATCTAGTATTTACTATTTACTATTTACTGTTTACTATTTAGTGAGTTTCAGTCCCTCTTCTATGATTTGTCTTCTTAAACCACTACTACCTCGCTCACTCTTGGGGAAAAATGGGAAAACTGGCAGTTTTCCTAGGCTACCGGAGTGGCCCGGGTCCACTTGCCCAGCCAGGCCTAAAAATAATAATGAAATTATTTAATTTATTTCTTCATTTTGTTTTTCATCTTAAATTTGGTAATTAATTTCGATGTGACCCTGAGGTAAAAGTTGTTCAGTTTATTTTTCTGCATAAAAATGATAACATAGTTTTCTTGCTTTTTTTTTTTTTTTTTTTTTGTGCTAGGACCTTCCCTGGTCCTTGCACGGCCGGGCCGCCCGGGAAAACAGGGTGACCCAGGCGGCCCGGCTGGTAGCCTAGCAGTTTTCTCATTTTTTTCCAAACTTTTTGGGGGTCGGACAACGCTTGGCAGTTGGACCTTGTGGGCCCGTTTGAAAAACAAAAAGCAAAACAAAAGACCATGCCGGGGAAGGCCCTGCACGAAGTTGTGCTCACACCAAAACTCACAAGAAAGTATCTAACTACTATTGTGGCCAGATTCAGGTTGTCGTTGTTTGTGTTTTGGTTTTCTTTCTTGCCAGGAAGGCACGGTGCAGTCCACGGGCTGCTGACACTTTGGGGAGGAGGGCATGCCCACACTACTACTTCGCAGAATAAATGAACCCACATTCCCGCCCTAAGTTCAGTTTCGATTTCCCCCTCCCTTTTTCCTTCTTCTGTGGATCTGACAGCCATACCGTAAGGCCCTCACTGAGGGCATACTCACACAACTACTTTTGCGTAGCTATCTACCTCGTATCATGTCCAAAAGGGTGTTCGCTTTTTCTCTTTTTCTTTTTTTTTGTGGATGTGAGCACGTCGCTGTAACACCATGCTTGTTCTTTTTTGAAAGTCTGGCCGTGTTTTTTTTTTTTTTTGCCCCAGAAAGAGTACCAGGAAAAAACAAAAAACGGAACCCAGGCTCGGCAAAACTCGGTGCGCAGTGAAAATCAGGGTCGGCAAAAACAGGCCCGGAGGTAGTAGTGGTTTAAGGTATTCTCACCCAGCACTTTCCTCTATGAACACAGCTGGATAAGCTAGCAAGATTTTTTCTCTTTTTAACAGTAAAAAAACTATTGTGAATCACAAAATTGGTATGCGCCTACTGACAAATTGGGAAACTTGTGCCAGGTAGAAACTTCAAGGAGGCGGGACGAGGGCCCGGGGGGCCACGTCAGGGGATGGGGGGGTGGGAGGAGGCAGAGGGGAGGCGGGGGGGGCAGAGGGGGGGGGGGGGGGGGGGGTAGATCAGCTCTCTCTCTCTCTCTCTCTCACCTAACTGAAACTCGGGTCGCTTAAGAGCATCCAAGACCTGAGGATTGTCTGTGTAAATTTTGAGTGGCTGGTCATCCTTGCGAATACTCCTTGAAGTTTTACCGGGCCCCTTAGCTAGTGATGGCCTCTCCTCCAAAGCCGCAGCATTGGCAGTCAGGCGGTCTTCTCTTGCTTCGAATGCCTACCAAATCATTCAAAAGAGAACAAACGACTCAATCAATGAATCGCACAAGAACCAGGGGCTCATCACCAAAAGCATCACAATCCTGCATGGAGAATGCCAGCCAAGATCGCAAACTACGCACACAGTCATTCCATATAGCTGGCACTATACAGAGGGGAAACATGATACCACTCGTACAAGCCTGATGCGCAACATCCCCATTCGCATCTTGTTCCCATCAATCCCTGAAAGCAAATTAGAACGCATTTGAGTGCACAATACAAAGCCATCCTAAGAGAGAATGGGAAAGCAAACTAGAACTCGTTTCAGCGGATAATAAAACCACAAACCCATCCGACAGATAGCATAGAGCCGCGACCCCAAAAAGCCATCGAATACACGGACATGGAGGAAGACAAAAGACAGTGGAGAAGTAGAACACTCTGCGGCAGAAGCCGACAAGGAAGCAAACGCGGAAGCATAAGCAGAAGTGTCGGTGAACGCAAAAGTGAAAGTGCTGGAGGAAGTGGAAACAAAGACGTGCAAAAGCTAAGTGAAAGCGTCAGTGGAAACGCTAGAGGCAGCGGACAGGTAAAAGCTACGTGGAAGCATCAGTGGAAGCGAAAGTAGAAGCGCCAGTGGAAGCGAAATTTGAAACAAAGACAGGCAAAAGCTAAGTGGATGCCTCGGTGGACGAGAACGTGGAAGTGCTAGAGGAAGTGGAAACAAAAGGCCTGTGAAAGCAAGTGGAAGTGTCAGTTGAAGCGTACAATATACAGTGGAAATGAATATATGCAAAAGACGAAGCAAGCAGATGCCGTGAAATACAAGTGGAGACGGGAACAGATGTCGGAGCAGAAGCTGAACCCGACACAGATGCAGAAGCGGAAGCAGAAGCAGAAGAAGATGAAATGGAAGTGCAAGTGTCCTCCGGGACATCCATTAAAATTGGAACGATACAAAGAGGATTAGCATGGCACCTCGCAAGGACGACACACATTAATTGAGAAAGAAATGGTCCAACTTATTGAAAAAAAAGGAAGAGCGCGCAAAGAAGTAGAAGCGCAAGTTGAAGTGGCACCTCGCTAAAAAAAACGGTAGTGCAAGTTGAAGTGGAAAGCACAACAGGCAAAGCTCAAACAAGCAAAAGCGGCAGAGGGCGCAAAGAAGTAGAAGCGCCACTGGAAGTGCAAGCAGAACCTGAAGCAGAAGCAGAAGCGCAAGTGAAAGCCAACGAAAAACACGCAAAAACTCATGCAAGCCCCCATCATATTGGGAGTTCGGGTACCCTGCCCATGAGGCTGAATACTGCACATCGGCCGGAAACTGTTGATGAGCGGACCATGAGCTCAGATCATGATGCAATAACCGCTTGCCAAAAAAAAAAAAGGATGTACGGTCATTATTGCTGTTATCTAGGCTCAAAGTTGCCCCAAATACAGCTACAATTACCGTACATCGTAGTCGGGTGAAGACGGTAGGCTGGTGCACAAACAAAAGCTTGACAACAAGTAAAAGCCGAACAAACGCCAAAGCTGAAATGCAGAGGCACAAGCAACAGAGGAAGCACACAGGGTTGTGGATGATGTGGCTGAGCACACGGGGGAAGCAGAAGCAGAAGCAAAAGCCAAAGAAGAAGACAGTATTCTCACTGCTAAGCAAAAGCACTACCAGTCTACCACCAAAAAAGCACAAGTACTCGGAACAAAAGCGGCATCAGAAGCAATCAGTGCAAACACGAAGATGAGTAAGAGGACACAGAGGAGAGGATGATCAAAAGCAGGAAAAAAATGACAATATAATACCGCAATTATAACAGTAAAGGGCATGGTGCCAACCACAATGACAGGATGTAAAGAGCAAGGACAAGGGCAAGGACATGGGTATGGAGCAGGACACTTACGAGGACGAGGACAAGACCGACAGACAGGGGATAGGAGGAGGACTATGCTGAAAACGAGGATGAGAGTGAGGAAGACGACTACCGGTAGGAAGAAGATGAGAACAAGGAGAGCGGGCAAGGCAAACGCAAGAAGTCCAACAAAATGATCCAGTAAAAAAAAAAAAAAAGCCTGAGCGAATTCATATGTAAAATATTTGTAGTAGAAAGAGTCAGCATAGCCGGGGCAGCTTTGTTTGCCGCCCCGTGAGTGCTACACCAGGTGGCCTCAGGGCTGCTGCGGAAGAAAAGAACGAAAAGAAAAAAGTTAAAAAAACTGTGAAGTTGTGTAAACCAATCGACTCGCCCTCCATCAGCCCGAATGTCCATGACGGACAAACTACCAAATAACAACACAGGGAAAAGAAAAGTGTATCCACCTCCGCAACCTGCACACAGACTTGTTTTAACTTTTAAGCACTTCGAACGCACGAGTGACATTGGCATTGACAAGTAATGTCGGCTTTCATTACTACACAGGAAACCAACAAATGCCAGCTAGACGACAAAATATTCAGTCACAAACTGTTTCAACATTGGAGCATGATACAGCGGCCTAGGTCGGTTGGTAAGGCACACAAGTGGCATTCAGGAGGTCTTGGGAGGTTGAATCCCCATTGGCCTCATGTACCTTCCTGGGCAAGCTTGTCGCCTGCCACCTAGAGATAGGCCATTCATTGGTCCCCCCGAGCGGCATTGAGCAGAGACTGCTGATATTGGCCTCATGTACCTTCCTGGGCAAGCTTGTTGCCTGCCACCTAGAGATAGGCCATTCATTGGTCCCCCCGAGCGGCATTGAGCAGAGACTGCTGATATTCGTAGCGGGATGGGACCAGAGGGGAGGCACAGCAACTGGCCCATCGAAGAAGCTCGGTCCTGATGCTACCGGCTGACCCCTGGCCGGTATCGCCCACCTGCAGATCGGGTGCAGCCCCCGCATGTTCCCTCGTTGGAGGCTTGAACTCGGGCTGGCTGCTATGTGGGTTCCCCCGTAATACTATAATAATCATAAATAAAAAAACGGCATGAACGGCCGTCCTGTCCAGATTTGACAGGTCCATGAATTGGTTGGGCTTAAGAGAATTAGCCTTTAAAAATAAAAAATAAAAGAAATAGACGCATGACACCATGCCTTCAACCACCAGAAAACAGTTTGGGGTTTACGGTTAAGCGTCTAGACTCTAGGGTCGACTTTTGAAACCGTGCCCCAAGACGCCAGAAACTGAGGGACAGATCAAGAGATCGATTCCTCACACATGCATCCACTGATGCTTGCAGGTAATAGCCGCGAGAAAAACAGATATAAGAAAAAGAAACGCAAAAGGAAAGTAAAGAAAAGGGGTGCAACAGCTAGCACCACCGTATTCTCCCCCACAAGACAACGTACCCTCCATATGCCTTGGACCGGACGTCTAAGATCGTACACAGAGGTCTTCATTGTCCGGGGAAGACGGTAGTGATCAGATCTGCGTTGTCTTGGCTGTTGCACATCTACCTACCTTTCTGAAGAAGGATCGTGGCGTATGGTACCATGCCGTTAACCGAGAGGAGCGGTGTTTCTGCTCTGTGATGCCTGACAGGTAGTCCCGGAAACACTCGTCGCCTCTTTGAAGATCTTGAGTTGGCCAAAGAAGCGAAAAACTGGAAATCAACAACCACAATCCAACAAATAAATTAATGAAAGTTGACGTCCGCTATATATATACCATACAAACAGTTAGACCAAGTCAGACCAGGTGAATCTACTGTGGTCAGCAGCAACAAACAAAAGCGATGAGGCTAATGAGCAGGATGAGAAGGAGAGCGAAAGAGGAAAGAAGAAAGACAGAAGATGGAAGAGTAGAAGAAGCAGGAGAGGCACCAACAGCAACAAATAGGTGAGGCTTATGAGCAGGAGGACAAGGAAAAAGCAAGAGGTGAGAATGAAGACGAGATACCGGATAGGAGATGGGAGAGGAGGGGGGGGGAGGAGGAGGAGGAAGTTGCTCAGAAGCAAGAGGTTTATGCTCTTTACAAGTTTTTAAAGATCAACAAACAAGCGACGGTCATGAGCAAGAGGAGAAGGAGAAAGTAAAAGGCGAGAAGAAAGAGGCAGGACGGAATAGGAAACAGAAGAAGAAAGAGGAGGAGGAGGAGGAGGAGGAGGAGGAGGAAAACCAAAAGCAAGCCTTTTTTTTTCTCTTTCCAATTTTTCAAAGGTCGACGAACAAATATGGCTTTGGAGGAGGAGGAGACGGAGAAAACAAGAGACAAGAAGAAAAAGGAGGGGCAGAAGAGAAAACAGACGGAACAGGAGAGAACAGAGGAGGAAGAGGAGGAGGAAGAACAAAAAGCAAAAGAACACCTGTTCCCTCTTTCCTCAATTTCTTAAAGAATGCAAATTCCATTCTTGAAACGTCCAATTCGACTTTCTTCCCCATTTTTCCTTTTTGAAAAGAAGCTTGGCTGTCATTGTACACACCAAAGAGCTGAAATGGGGAAAAAAAGAATGATAGGAAATACAAAAAAAAAAAAAACACCAAAGAGCTGAAATGGGAAAAAAAAAGTATGATAGGAAATACAACAAAAATAAAAGCAGCACCGGCATGCCAAAACATAACCGGACGTTGTTTGGCGAGAGTTCGCTCAAAACGCTTGAGCCACAAATCCATGAACTCGGATAAGACGGTTCCGAACACAAGCCCATGAGCTGACATTGATGGTTCAGCCACGAGTGTGTGTTATTATTAATTAAGATATGATATGAAGGTTCAGCCACAAGTCCATTGAATTAATATTTACTTATTTAACATTCAGATTATCTTGAATGCATTGCATGGAGAACCCTAACAAGCGTCGCAGAAACTACTACATTGTCTCTCCAGACTCACCTTATCGCACTTTGCAGAGTTCCGTCAGGCATGTACATGAACGGGACGCACTTGAAATTGGGCACGTCGCTATGTCTGAGTGACGACCCAAATTCATCCATAATATACCTAGTTCAGCAAACGACCAACACACATAGTACACAGAACAAGAACACAATGCACATCGAAGTGACGAGCCCACGTCCGAGAAGCATTGACACTGTCAATAAAGTGCATGAAACTCACAATGCTCAATGAATGACTATCGGAACGAGAGAGCAAAGAACATAAGAGCTAAGACATAGGAAGAAGAACAGCAGGAGGAGAAGGATAATCCAAAATAACAGTCAACAATTGATACAATGTCTTCTTTCACCTTCCCCCTTGTACTTCGAGTTCTCCTACCTCCTATCACCACAATCACTAATCACCAATCCTTTCCTTTCCCTCTACTGAAAATGAAGTCAGTCTCTAACTTCCCAACAGCTTGCCAAAATGCAAGTCACTCTCCAACGCAATAACAATCTGGACGAATAGAGAATAACACTGCGGTGTCCGCCTTCAGAAACAAAGCGCTCTCTCTTTGCTCATGGCAGCATCAACAGGTAAGTCCAGGTAGGTTACTCTCGTCCTCCTCGCTTCACCCCAGATATTGCCTCTCTCTCTCTCTCTCTCTCTCTCTCTCTCTCTCTCTCTCTCTCTCTCTCTCTCTCTCTCTCTCTCTCTCTCTCTCTCTCTCTCNTCTCTCTCTCTCTCTCTCTCTCTCTCTCTCTCTCTCTCTCTCTCTCTCTCTCTCTCTCTCTCTCTCTCCCCCTCTCTCTCTCTCTCTCACGCGCGTGCGCGCATGCGCTAAGCTATGGTAGCAGTGCACCTGGATCCTCACTCTCACTCTCTCTCTTTAGACTGCCTTTCTCCACTACTAGTGCTCAGCAGCACTTCAGCCTTGAGCAAGCGCAAGGCAGAAAACGAATGAACAAACTGGGGAAGGCCAATGTTATGTAGTGTTGACTCGGACTGGCCTACCTCGGATATGTTATGTAGACCAGTCCGAGTTCGGTGTGGATTGCATCTCAATCAGGCACATAACACATCCACAGGGGTCAAAGTCCACCATTTAAGGGGGAAGTCATTAATACGTCCATCGAAGGGCTAGTTGGGTGTGGATACACCCATTTGAGGGGGTAGAAGTCAACTATTTAAGGAGACGAGGGAGTTGGGTGTGGATTGCATCTCAATCAGGCACATAACACATCCGCAGGGGTCGAAAATCAACCATTTAAGGGGGAAGTCGTTAACACGTCCATTGAAGGGGTAGTTGGGTGTGCATACACCCACTTGAGGGGGTAGAAGTCACCCATTTAAGGGGACGTGGGAGTTGAGTGTGGATTGCATCTCAATCAGGCACATAACACATCCAAGGGGGAACTCAACCATATGTAGTTAATACACCTGTTTATGGGGGGTAGTTGATACACCCATTTGAGGGGATCAAAGTCAACCATTTAACCGGGTGGTCATTAATACGTCCATTGAAGGGGTCACTAGTCAGTACAGCCATTTGAGGGAGTCGTGGTTAATACGCCCATTGAAGGGGGTAGGTAGCAGTTAATACCGCCATTTAAGGGGGTAACCAATACACTTATTAAATGGAGTCCCTGTAGCATGGTAGACCTTTTCTACAGAAATGGTGACGTGAGTGAACGACCGTGACAGGAGCAGGGGAACAAAGAATAGCAGAGGGAGAGGCAGGGGGAGGGGAGGAGGGAGAGAGGAGCGGACATGTGAGAAGGTCAGGTTAGAAAGGGGGAAGATAACACAAGAAGGGGCTTGTGAAAGTAACGCCGGAGAAGACAATGTACGACAACCACAAGGTTCGGAGAGCGACTTCACCATATTGGAGTTTCATCCAGCTTCTCCTCTGTGGCAAGTCTATACTCCTGAACATACTGCCACATGGAACGCAACACGCGATCTACTACAGGTTCGCCTTGGGACCATTCCGGAAGTCGAGGCTCAAGATCATCCTGCAAGTCAGAGAGAGAGAGAGAGAGAGAGAGAGAGAGAGAGAGAGAGAGAGAGAGAGAGAGAGAGAGAG